GGGGGGGCGTGGCCTCCAGCAATTAGAGTACAACTTCTTAACCGGATGCAGGGACTATGACAACTTTGGAAGGTGCCTTTACAATGGTGTGTATCTGAGGAGTGATTCCACTGTCATTTTCAAAGGTGTCTTAAGGGCCTCTTCATGAGAGGGTCTCTGGCTTGTCCCTGGTGATTAAACACGCGCCCAGAGAAGTGCAAAGCCTCTAATCTTAAATGAGCATCTCAGCATGTTAATTGTGCATCACCCAGGAGAGGACCTGCTGAGCGAATTCTCCCCAGTACTTTGAAAGTGAAGGGACTGATGACTACAAAACTTCTGGGAAACCAGTGTAGTTCTCTTTTGCCCTGACTGCTGTACCTTGTCATGGATGGACCAAACTCAAAGAATTCGATTTGCTAGAACTTACAGAGGCTTTTGGCTATTTCAGGAAAGAGCAGGCTAGTCCACGTCACATCACTATCAAGTGTGCAAGACTTCACTACCATATGCAGCGTCTTCCGGATTCTTGAATTTCCAAGAGGATTATCTGAACAAAGGCCATTTAACCCACATGAAAGACTGTTTAATGATGGCATTTAGATATGGAGGGCCTGGGTATTATTATTATTTTAAAGGAAGAGTTTTCTAATTTTATTTTGTTGAAAGCATACATAGTAAAACATAGTTTATGTATGTACAATTTAGCGATTCCAGTTAGTTCTTCTAGCTGTGCAACCATTAGCAACCGCTCTCATTAACAGACTCATTACCCCATAAGGTCTCTATCACTCAAATAGGTATTGTAAATTTGATCCTAGGTATACTGGTGTTAAAGTAGCATAATGCTTAAGCAGGTAGGCTGACTGTAAGAAGACTTCAGGGGTTATTTGGGGTTAAGATTTAAAAAAAAAAGACTTTACTATCATTCCAGGTAACTGAGTATACTTATTTAATACAGCATCCTAAATTGACAAATGGCAGTTTCATCAATACTTTTTTTATACTATTACATGAAACACATTGGACTCTCTTTCACCTATAGTGAAATTTTAGTACCAACATTTGGAAAATATTGGTTCACCAAGCAATGCATTATACAGTATTTCTAAATGTTGGCATATGACATTATTCACAAAGTTTGTATGTTAATGTCACCATGTATCTCCACTGAGGAGAAACTGGTGGTAGGGAGATGTTCTCCATAATCCTAATTTCTATATAACTTACATTTTGATATGGCTATGAACACTACGAGCTGTTTATTTTACATGACAGGCAAAATTTATTTGAGAAAATCTCTGCCAAAGGATTAAGTTTAAATAGACATCACCTGTAGGTTAGTGGCCCATAAAAAAGTGGTTAGGCCAATTCACAGCTCAATCCCACAAGTACTTTTCTGGAAGTAGGCCATCATGTTTGGGTCTGCAGCACAGCGCATTCCATGTCCCTCTCCTTTTGTCGCATGCGCTTGTTCTTAAGTGCCATCGAGTCCGTTTCCAACGACAGCAATAAGTGCCTGAAATATTGGGTTTCTCTTTCATTGGGGAGTAAACAGAAAACACCACTGCCCTGAAGATCCCTGAGCTTCCATATGTTTCACAATTCCTTCCAAAGGGTTCTTTTCCTCTTCCGGCTCTTTCGCGTTAAGGGATGCCAATGTATTCTGAGAAACTCCTCCCTGATGGCACTGCTGGCTGGGGCTGCCCATGCAAAAGAACCCAGTGATGGCTCCTCTTGATCTCTGCCGCCCTGGCTGGTGCCGACTTGAAGAAGGTGGAGGGCCGGCTGAGACTGAGTGCCTCTGGTTTGGGGAACTCCATCCGTGTCTGTGACCTCCTCACAGGAGAAAGCTGAGGGTGTCTGTTCTGTCTTCCTGAGGATACTGTGCACCAGGATTGACGCTACAGCAGGGAGATTACTACCCGAGGGCTGTTGCTTAGTGTTGCCATCCATCCCTCACCCCCACTTACGGCACCAGGACGTTCATTCCCAGACTCATCTCCAAAGTGGCACTGGCCTTGAAGGAAGACTTGGCAAATGACCATGGACGCAGTGAACCTATACTAAGCACACCTGGGTCTTCTTTTTGAATGCAAAGTTTCTCTGGGTCCCTGAGTATCTCCTCGTTGTACCCAGGTGACATCTAATTCTCAGACCAGAACTTGACCTCAGGGCTCTTCAGCCTCAACCAAGTACTTCCTTAAATGAATGAGAAAATATCCAGCCAGATCCTTATACCCCACAGCCTCAGACAAAGTTCAGTCATTCCTCATGAGTATGTTATCTTAGTGGGGAAAAATGTTCTTCCTTTATCCATTTTCCCCACTCTTATCTATAAGTCTTATACATCCTTTTTCTTATCAACTAAAACAAGATTGTCTTGAGTGCTGGTGACCATATGCTCCAGTCTTTCTTCAACAATCTTGTATTAGCTTTCTGATGCTGTGAATGAATTGTGACAAACCGTTCACAGTTGTTTAGCTCAGGCGTCTAGCGTGCCTTAGCGAGATGCCCAGAATCTACAGAGCTGAAAGTAAAATGGCTATGTTCATTTCTGGAGGCCCTAGGAAATAATCCACTTTCAAGTGTGTTGAGCATCTTGAGATAATTCAGTTGCTTGTGGCTGTAGAACTGAGGTTCCTATTTCCTTGCCAGCTATCAGAAGGGGCAAGCCATGCACCTAGAAGCCACCCACATGCATTGCCATGTGACCCCTAACCCTTAAACCAACAAGGGCACATCAAGTCCTTCTCGCACGTCTAGTCTCTCTGGTTTTCCTTTCTGCTACCTTTTTCTGAATCCCTTTTATGCTTTTAAGAGTTCGTATCATTAGACCAGGTATATCTATAGTTAGCTATAGTTAGCTGTCCCCCCAAACACACACACACATAGGAGTGATAGTTCATCACAAGTTTCAACAATTGAGGCATGGCATCTGGGGGATAGGGGTGTGGTTTTTAGAATTCCACCTCCCATGACTCTCGTTTGTCGAGCCTGTTGACAGCCCAGGGCCCAGCTGCAGCAACAGTGCTTTTTTCACGGAAGTGTTCCATGCTGAGAGAAGACCATTCATATGGTCTCTGTGTTCACAGCTCTCTCTTTCGGTATCCTGTGTGTAGCAAGTTTTCAGGGTGGTGAACTCAGATCCAGAGAACATGCTAAGCTCCTCTGTCTTCTTTCTTGATGAAAGGGAAACTCCCTTTATCTATTTTACATACCTATGCATATGCATGAGGAACCCTAGTGGTATTGTCTAAAATGCTTTCAGACGGTTTATGAAAAAAAAAGTTGTCCCCAGCCCCAGCCAGTCCTGGGGTTTTGGGGCTCAGCTCAAGGGGAGTCCCTCTGGGACATGGGGGTGCAGTGAATGGTGTGACCCTTTGCTGGGCATGCCTACACAGTAGGGGATGCTGGGTCCCTCTAGGGTTTCCCCGTATGGGCTCCAATAAATTTCTTCCCTTTTGCTTTAAAAAAAAAATGTCAGCAGATGAAATGCCCCAGCTACTCTGCAGGAAAAAGTTGAGGTTCTTTACTCCTACAAAGATAGCCAGGCTCTGAAACCCACAGGAACATTTCTACTCTGCCCCACAGGGTTTCTATGAGTTGAAATCAACTCCATGTCAGAGTAGACGCAGTGCGTTTGGTATTTGGGGATTTTGCATATGCATGTATTCTTATGTTTGGAGTGAAGGAAGCCTTGGGGCTGACTGACAGAAAGAGGAGCATTTGCATGCATCTACTTCCATAGGATAAAAGACTGGAAAAGATTATAAGGTACCCCAAAATAGAAGTATGTGTTTTTATGTTTTCCATTTAAGAACCATGTACATTTTCACCACTATTACCATCAGAACACATTTATATATTAACTATAAGTCTGAAAAACTGTAATGATTTTATCTCAGTCTAAATTTTCTAAAAGGTTTAATCAATAATGAGATTAAGAAATAAAGTCCTTTTGCTTTTTAATGACAAGTCATATTCAAATGGCTAATATAACACTCAAAGTCTTTGATCCATGCCACTTTATCTCTGAGTTGCTAGCTGACTCTAATTTTCATAGTAATAGTGTCACTAGCTTTGTGTTTAGTATTACTATTGTTATTATAATTATTATTATTTATTGAGCATCTACCATAAGCCCTGCACTATTCAAGGTATTTAAAATATTATGGTGAACAAGCTAGTCTTCTTCTTGAACAAT